CTGCAATTCTGTCTGTTGGCACACTTTTAGTTTTAAAAACTGATAGTGATATAGAGTCAATTCAGAGCGAGTCTCTGGGGTCTGCATTTAAAATGGAGAAAGTATCAGATAACTTGCTTGTTTCACTTGGAGGTGTTGCCAGATGCTTCCATGAAGATTGTATTAGTGTGCTATCCCTCAGGACTATGCATTTATGGTTCACGTTTTTCATTTGGGGAAAATGAAACATATGCACAAAGTCTGACTAAGTTTTCTTTCCAAACTCTAGAATTATTTCCAGTGATATGAATCATGAAGTTGGACCATTATTATTGAGTTGAAATAGACTAAATTTAATATTCATGATCTATGACAAAGAAGACTTTATGGAATCTGCCCCGATTCCACCACTAGATCCAGCCATTATAGATTCCTATCATCATCATCATCATCATCATCATCACTCATTCATCTCCACTCACTGAGGGTTCGCTGACGACTTCCCTAGCTGCCTTGGTTCCTTTAGGCTCCTTGATCTTTCTCCATATACTCACCTATTTGAGTGGAAGATTACATCTCATTGCTGGATTCTAAGGCTGTATGGCTTATCTGCGGAGCTTCCCTCATCTGAGATGGAACAGTGGTCAGTTTTCTACCCTTGGGGGCTCCAGCTTTCTTTGAAAGCTATAACCTGAGGAGGTAACAAGGCTAATACTCATTCCAAATATATATTTTAAAGTTTGTATTGAGAAGTGTTTTTGAAAGATGCATGTTCTGAAATATTGCCCATCATCTTCTTTAAGGACAACCTTGCAAGGAAACTGCTTTGTTTTGGCACATATAGACAGGACTCCTTCAGATAGGAGAGTCACTTTGACTGTTGAAGTGCAGCATCAATAGTCTCAATAGATTTTCCAGTTTCAGGTTTTAATTACTAAAAAGCATCTTTTCATGTGGCCCAGTCACTGGCTGTCTCCAATATCACCTTTTTGTCAATTATTTATTTATTCTATTTTATGTGAATATGTAAATGCCTTCATGTGTGCCTGAAGAATCCACAATAAGGCATCGGATCCCTTGGAAGTGAGTTTATTAGTTAGTGGCTGTGAGCTTTCCTGTGGGTGCTGGAAACCAAACCAAATTCTGTGTAAGAGAAGTAAATGCTGTCAACTGCTGTACCAACTCTCAGCCTTCCTCTAATATCACCATCTCAGAGTGGATGGATGTGTTCTCTTCCATAGATATGTGTTGTATGCCTTAATTGGCTCAGCGCTCAAGTGTGAAATCATATTTTGACATCATGTAGTGATACAAGCAATATAGAGCAAGATTGTAGGAAGAAGATGTAAACCAGGCACGGATGTATGCATGTTTTTAGCATGGAAACTGCCTAGATACTGAGAAGGACAGAGGAAAGAGAGCTGAGAGTCTACTGCAAGACCTATCATATATCCTCCAAAATGTCAGTGACCAAATATGTCATAGTAATTGTTGAGACAAAAAAAATGGTTAGAAGCACAATTCTAGCTTATAAAAAGTACTTTCCTGCTTAACACACATTTTCCTGTACATGCACATATGGTTTAAGAAGTCATCAAAAATATACAGAAACTAGGGATCAAAATGCCAATTTTTATTTGTTGACAATCTATAGAAAAATCAGTTTATTGAGAGAACATAGAAAAGTCAGCTTTAATTCACATATATGGTTCAAAATGAATTTGTTGAAAGATGTGGTTTTACTTCTTCACCTCTCAGTAAATTTACCATAATGCATTCCTGGGATCTTGGGTGGTGAGAAAGAAGGAAAGAAGTATATATATGAATATGTATATATGAATTTGTGACCATATGAGTGTATGTATATTTATGTTACTGGAGCTGCTAGGAATGTTTATCATGAGGAATACTTGAAATTAATTAACCAAGTCATGTCATTCTTACTCAGATCCTAGCACATATTAGAAATTAGATTAACATCCCTGTTGTTTTGCTAGCTTTCCTTGGACAGTGTGGTTACCATGACAACTCAGTGCCTGCTGTGGAAACTGATGCCAACTATGCTTCCACTTATGATTTTTGCCTGAATCATTTATCACTAAGGTATTGTCATGTGTTGTTTTTCTAATTCTGATTTTGCTTCTAAAATTAATGCTTGACATTTCAGATGTGGTAGAGATTTTTCCTGCCCATTTACTCATTTATAATATGCTTGAATCAATCTGACTCAGAGTCACATTTTTCTCAGAAGTTACTACCTTTTGTTATTGATGCATATATATGTATATGCATATATATATAACTTCCCTCCACAATTTAGCCAAGAAATGCCCCTTCAAAATAGCCTCAGTGTTAAATTGATACCTTCCCAGAATTCCTTGAGCATATGCTTTGCTTTCTAATACTATCTCCTTGTCTGTACAAAGGAAATAATGCTACCTACCTCAGAGAATAGCTTTTTAAAATGTCTAAAAATAGCAGCGGACAGTGTGTGATATGTCGCCCCCTCAGCATATGTGATTTCCATGCACTTTGCCTCCTTTATTCAGTCAAAGCAATATCTTTAACAACATCATGGACCGGCTACATAGTAAACAGGAATAAGCCCACTTATCTGTTAGAGGAGTCTCAGTTCCATTGTTTGGTGTGTAGGAGGAGTTGTAGGATAAAGCTGGGAAGAGAAAAAGCATCATTGTACAGCTTCCAGTGAATTGAGTCTGCCTTTCCCATCTGCTTGCTATTATCTCTGTTCCACATGCTTTCTCCCTTTTACTATAACACCACAGAAAGATGTTTAATATGCACTGCAGAATCTGAGGCTCGGAGTGAAGAAACAAGTCTGATATAGAGTTAGTAGGATAGGTTCCTGGAGAGATTCGGTTCCCATTATGGGGACACTTAGTAAAACACTACCCTTCCACTAGTCTCCTCCATACTAGCATGTAACAATTCTGAACATATATGAACCACAGGAGATAGTCTAAAGTTGAGATCCTACATGGGAAAGCATTCTGTTGTCTCATGTGGAGGGAAGGAGTTCTTTAAAGTAACTGTCATCAGGTGGTTCAGAAATTCTAGAACTCTGCATTAAATTAATGGTACTTAAACCTGTGCTGTTTACCACAGGCAAGGGTGAAAATTCTCCTAACTAGACTCAGAGGCTTCTACAGAAGAAGCCAGGAAAGTTTCAACTCTATGCGACATGTTAAAGGAGTTAGAGCAAAGACATCAGAGTTCCATCTTTAAGGCACTACCTAGAACCAGTCCCATCTAAGACAAAAAAAAAAAAAACCCACCAAGCCTTAGGCTGGAGAGATGACTCAGGAGTTATGAGCATTGACTGCTCTTCCAGAGGTCCTGAGTTCAATTCCCAGTAACCACATGGGGGCTCACAACCATCCGTAATGGGATCTGATGCCTTCTTCTGGTGTGTCTGATGACAGTAACAGTGTGCTGTCATGAAAGAAAGAAAGAAAGAAAGAAAGAAAGAAAGAAAGAAAGAGGGAGGGAGGGAGGGAGGAAGGAAGGAGGGAGGGGAGGAAGGGAGGGAGGGAGGAAGGAAGGAAACTAATCCTTCTAATGAACAGGACTACTCTCTAGAGTGTAGAGACCCCAGGTAGGGAAAAACCCTTGACCAAGCCAGCTCAGTTAGTCAACAGGTTCTCCAGAGCAGGAGTGAGGATTCAAAAGAAAAAAGACACAGGATTTTCAGGGCACTTGGATCAATATCATCAATGAAGATCTTCTAGTTGTTCTAGAACTCTGCATGGTGCCATTAAATTAGTTGGATTAAAATGTTGACAAAAGAAGTGAGGAATTTTCCAAGTGTGGAACCTTTTCCCCCAAATCTTCTGCTGGTGCTTAGTAAACTTGAACACATTTGGGTCCAGGCCAAATCTTTTGAATTAAAAAAAAAACAAACCATGGAATTGAAGTGAGTTAATTCCAGCTGATTCTGATATTCATTGAGCTTTGAAAAGCACTGCTGTCTATTTGCAACAAGATCTTTTAATATCTTAAATCATTTAGTATATTTTGTCATGGTTCTTGATTGCGAATTTTCTATCTTCTCTAAAGTGTCAGTAATTCTTTCAATTTATTAATAATCATTCAGTAATGAATATACAGACCACTGGCCTAGGCACTGGGAAAGTAGCAGGAAGAACAAGACAGGAAGGGGCCTTGGATCTACCACTGTAGATTGGCAAAACCAGATAAGAAAACGACTAACCAGGCAAGTTATGTGGGGTTTTCTGTGTGAAGAAAATAAAGAGAAAACAGCTTGACAGAGGATTACACACAGAGTTGTCCTGAAAGCCTTTCCTGGAAGTGGCTTTAGAACTGAGTCCTGAAGGATAAGAAGCCGCACACAGACAGGCCATGTCTTGGTGTGCTTGTACTGTGTGTGGGCCAGTTAACCCGGGAGCAGAGGACAGGCAGCCCAGTGGCTGGAGCCTGGCAGACAACAAGCAGGCTGGTAGGGGGTGAGGTGGAAAGGGCAGATGCAGCACAGTCTGGGCCACCTCTGACACTAAGACTGTATGGTGAGGATGGAGGATCCCAGCAAGGAGGTGACATGACCTGTAGGGGATGGCTGGTCTCTGTGCAGAGAATGGTCCACAGAGAGGCAGGATTAGCTAGTGTGGAGGCAAATACAGCCATCAGCAGCAGCCTGTTGCAGAAGGCCAGGGGAGGGGTTAGGATGTATGGAAGCCATGATGCAGCAGTGTGCAGAGGGAGAGGGTGCCCTGGACAGGGCTTTGTGTGGGGGCGTGGGGGCTGTGGTAGCAGGGACCTCCAGTGACTGTGCCTGGGTGTGAGGGTGAGACAGTGAGACAGTCCAAGGCACCCCTGGGCTAATTCAGCCCCACTACTGCTTTCTGTCAGATGCTCCGAGTGCCTTAGGCTATCAGCAGACAGTGGTTGTAGGGTTAACTAGCGACTTGGTGCGGGCGAGGGGAGGGGGGAGACATCGTGGGCGGTGCGCGCTCCAGGGCCGCGTGCGCGCGCCCAGCATTCCGCGTGAGCCAGAGGAAGGCAGAGGGACCGCGGAGCACACAGCACGCCCGTGCCGAGCCAGCGAGCGAGCGAGCGCCCGTGGAGCCCGCGTGGAGGGAGCCGCCGCAGATTGACCTGCAAGATGAACACCCTGCTGTCCCGGGCCAACTCGCTGTTCGCCTTCACGCTGAGCGTCATGGCGGCGCTCACCTTGGGCTGCATCCTCACCACCGCCTTCAAAGACAGGAGCGCGCCCGTGCGCCTGCAAGTCTCCAGGATCCTGCTCAAGAAAGTGGAAGACTTCACTGGACCCAGAAAAAAGAGCGACCTGGGCTTCATCACCTTCCACATCTCTGCGGACCTGGAGAAGACTTTCGACTGGAACGTCAAGCAGCTCTTCCTTTATCTGTCGGCAGAATATTCCACCAAAAGCAACGCTGTGAACCAGGTGGTCCTCTGGGACAAGATCCTTCTGCGAGGCGAGAACCCCAAGCTCAACCTGAAAGACGTCAAAAGCAAGTATTTTTTCTTTGACGATGGACATGGTCTCAAGGGAAACAGGAACGTCACTTTGACTCTCTCCTGGCAAGTTATACCGATTGCTGGGATCCTGCCTCTTGTGACTGGATCTGGACGCGTGTCTGTCCCATTTCCAGATTCCTATGAAATAGCCACGACTTTTTGAAGAATTCTCTCTGCATCGGAAAGGGGACATCTGTGTACCTAAAGAATCGTAGTTTAAAACTGTCAAGAATCTGAAGAAACTTGTGCTGTAACGATGTGTTGCATTAGTGCATGTTTACACTGAATGTGATTTAGAAGCAGACGTTTGTTCATCTCTTGTAAAGCATGCTTGATTCCTGGAGGGAAAAAACAGTTAATATGATCATTTTTTAGATGCCATAAGTGGTGGAAATAAGGTGGCTAGCAAGTTTTCCTGAAGAGTGAATACATATTTATTCTGTAAATCACCGTAACGCAGTTAATGGCTGAATGTTTGAGAAATATGGATCTTTCCAGGTTCTCCCTGCAAACGTTTTTGTGTTTTACATTTTTTTGAAAAAAATAATGTTTAAACATTGTCAGTGAAAGTTGAAAACATTTGCATGATTTCCCCATTGAGTGAAGCTTGTTTCAGTCTGTATGCTTACTACCACTAGATGCTAATTATGTACAATTCTCTGCAAGTCTCTATTTTAATAGGTATTGGAGTAATATTAACACTCATAGTTTAATTTTTCATTTACAAACTCTCTTATATGTTATTGTATTCTATTGCTGACAATCTCAGGTTGTGTATAATAGAAACATGGGCTCTTTATGGATGAAGACTCTGAAACCGTGAAGCTTGGGGAATCATTCCAAGCTTAAATAGCTAGCAAAAAAAATGGAGCCAAATTTTTGATCTTGGATATTCTCATTTCCTAAGTTTATTCCAACTCTCATACCTGAGATGACATCATAGTACAATTTCATTTGTAACTTACATTGTATTTTTGTAGCCCTGAAACCCTTTGTCTTGATGTTTCTGATCTTCTGTAAAAGTAGCTTATGTTCAAGTTGTAAAAAAAAAAAAGTCTATAGAAATATATCTCCTTTCACACTCTGTGTGTTTGCTTCCTTTATAGTGGAAGTATAGAGACAGGTTCAAAGTGGGATCGAGCTTAAGGGGAGGTCCCAAGGCCTGACACTACTGACACTATTACTGAGGCTATAGTGTGCTTACAGACAGGAGCCTAGCATGATTGCCTTCCGAAAGGACCAACAAGCACCTGAAAGAGTCAGATGCAGATATTTACACCCAACCAATGAACTGAAGCTGCTGACCCTTGTGGTTGAATTAGGGAAAAGCTGGAAGACGCTGAGGAGGAGGGTGACCCTGTAGGGGGACCAGCAGTCTCAATTAACCTAGACCGCTGAGATCTCTCAAACACTGAGTTACCAACCAGGCAGCATACACCAGCTGATATGAGGCTCCCAACACATACATGGCAGTCCTCTGCTAGGGCTGGGTTCTGTCAGAGATGATGCACCTAACCCTCAAGAGATTTGGGGCCCTAGGGAGTTTAGAGGTCTGCTGGGGTGGAGGTGGGAACATCCTCGTGGAGACCAGGGGTGGCAGGGAAGAGAGGTACGGGATGTGGAACAGTCAGAGGGTGGACTGGGAGGGGGACCAGAGCTCCCAGGGTCAAAATCACCATCCTGGGAGCACACAGGGAGGGACTCATGGCTCCAGCTGTATATGTAGGGGAAGATGTTGTCAGGCATAGGTAGGAGAGGAGGTCCTTGGTTCCGTGAAGGCTGGATGTCCCAGTGTGGGGGAATTCAAGGGTGGAGAGGTGGGAATGAGTGAGTGAGTGGGTGGGTGGGTGGGGGCACATCCTCATAGAAACAGGAGGAGGGGGGATGGGATAGGGGGTTTCTGGGTGGGGGGTGAAACGGGGAAAGGGGATAACATCTGAAATGTAAATATCCAATAAAAAATTAATTTCATAAAAGATTAAAATATTTTAAAAAGAAAAGAATAGTGCACACTGCTGCAACCACTATAGAAATGAGTGTGGAGGCTTCTCAAAATGGAAATTTAGCTGTTCTGTGGCCTAGCTATGCTATTCCTGAGCATACCCCCCAAAGGACTTGATACCCTACCACAATAGCAGGAAATGGGATCAACCTAGATGTCCATCAGCAGATATGAAAATGTGGTATATAGACACAGTCTATTCAGCCATAAACGAAACTAAAAAAGTGAGATTTGCCAGGAAATAGATGGAACTGAAATATAATAAGTGGACCGTCACAGGCAAAACAAGACAAATACTACATGTGTTTTATCTTTATAGCTGAATAAGTTAGATTGCATATGTGGGTATACACAATGTATATATGCCCGAAGGAGGTCCTGGCTTCTAAGTTTCACATGTATGTCCTTGAAGGGCGGGGATGGTGTAGGATGTGTATGTGGATGCCAAGTGAACGGAAAGGGACCTATGGGAGGAATAAACAGAGGCTTTAAAGGAGATCGGTGGATGTGGTAACAAAACACATATCATGTGAAGGTAGAATGAGGAATAACAAAGTGGGTACGGGTTAGACAGAGGTAAGGGGACATGGAAATTGGGGAGATGAAAGGAGGGAGGATAGTCAACCTAAACTATGTATGAAAATGGCATAAGGAAAACTTTTTTGTTAGCATTCCTTCTAAGCTCTACCCCACAGTTACTTGGCAATAGCCAGTATGCCTGACTCACTGTAAAAGGTCCTGCTTGCTCCCTCCTCTCTCTCTTACTCTCTTACCCTCTCTGTCCCTTCTCTCACCCTTCCCCTCCCCTTCTCTTTCCACATGTTCCTGGCCCAGCCAGCCTCTCCTCTACTCTCCCTTTCCTCCTCCCCCTCCTCCCCCTCCCCCCCCCCCTCCTTCTTCCTCTCTCTCTCTCTCTCTCTCTCTCTCTCTCTCTCTCTCTCTCTCTCTCTGACTTTCTCTGTCTCTACTCCATCCTCAACTCCCCTCCCTATGCCCTAAATAATCTCTATTGCATACTATATCTGTCACGTGGCTGGTCCCTCAGGGGGAAGGGATGCCTCAGCATGGGCCCACAGAGAGGAGGCCCCCTTCACCTTCACCATACCGCACTCTACCAAACATATCCTGGATCTTTCTTTCTTTTTTATAAACACAACATTTTTGTAAGACAAAATGAAACAATAATTTTACATTATCTCATACGAATATATCACGATTTAATTACATTTGTTCCAAAAATATGGATATAGCTGTACAGTTCCTGGAGAAGCATGTGACATTGAATTTTCCAACTGGCATAAAGGTCAAATGTGTAGCATCATATATACCAAGCTGGCTCTGGCTTTTGGTTTTTTCATTATATATTTCAGGGCCTTCGCTTGTTTATATTTGTATAAACATATACAATATATTTAAGTTGAATATTAAGTATACAATTAAATATTCTAAATAATTTAAATTATTTTGAACAAGTTAACAAAAATGGTGGTCTTTTTGTTTAGCATATTTACACAAAACACCTTAGTAATCTGCAAATAGGAAGACCAGCGAGGACAACACATAATTCATAAAAATTTGAATTTATTTATAGTATGTATACCAAAAAGAATGTTTAACTCCAATACCTCTATACAGGTACTAGACATGCAGATGTTAAAATCTGCAGTTATCTAATCTTAAACTTTGGGTTTTTCCCTTGAGAAAAACATGTACAAGAAACCTGTAATCTTAACCAGACCCTGGTACTAGTTTCATTTTACTGCTGCAATGAGTGGATCTGTTAGTTTGCTAGAAATGAATGTTGAAATTTACTTTAGTTATATTTTATTTGACTAGTGCAAGTTTTTAGAGATTAGTGAGGAAGGGAATTACTGTTGCAGTGTAGACAAAGGCAACAGGAGATTCCCTGGGGCTTGCTGGTCAGTTAGTCTGGCCCAATCTGTGAGCTACAGGGTCACTGAGAGATGTGTGGTGGAAAAACTACAGAGGAAGACACAGAATATCAACCTCTATTCTCCACATGATGCTCCACTCCCATGCATGTGCACACATGTACTTATGTGCATGCAGAAGTCACACACACAGGTTAAAATCGTTGTTGCAAGTTTTAACACAAACTTAGATATTAGTTATTTCATAAATATATTCATATTAATCTACTGAGTATACATTTGAAATTTTTCATAATTACAATAAATATCCAGCATTTTTATAAAAATAAATAATAATTGGTTGATAAAGGGATTGGTTTGTATGAGGCCTCATGGGCTTTTCCCTTCCACTTTGTCCATTAGTGTCATCCTTGTTTAGCTCATGTTAGTGCAGTCATGTTGATGGAACTAGGAGACACAATCTCACAGCAAATTCTCCTGTTCTCACATTCTTTCCTCAGCTTCTCCTACAATGTTCCCTGAGGCTTAGGTGCAGGATTGTTCTGTAGATACAGCCATTGGAGAATGATGGAGGTGGATATACATATACACATACACACACACACACACACACACACACACACA